AAAGGAATTGTGGGTAGTATGCAACTCATCCCCCAGAAGTTCTTTTACGTAATCATTGCCCCCCTGCTGCACCTCCATGCATACCTTAAATGGCACAGACCTTCCTTCCTTCCTAGAGAACTTCGAGGCAACTAACTGGCTGCTCTATCCCAACACCAAGATGGCCATGTCTCAGGCCAAACTGCTGTCTGTGGGTTTCCAGTCCTCTCCTTTGTGTTTGCTGCCACCACCTCCATTAACATCCCCCCAGCTCCCTGACTCAGCATGGCCAACACAGAATGCTTCACCAGCATCTCCCAGTCTCCTAAGCCCTAACTCCCTAGCCACCAATCCCGTTATCAAGGGAAGCTCTAAATTCTCTCCTTATCCCACCACCACCACATGGTTCTGGGCATCCCCTGTGATTGTACCTGGCTTCCCCACTTCTCTGCTCCTTCACTGCCATGCTGAAGACTTTTTTGACAGTGTGAAATTGACTTCATTTTCTTCACTCTTAGCCTCCTAGCTCTCCGTTTTTCTTGTAACCTCCAACCCACACTTGCAGACATGAACATAAAGGCCTATATTTTTTTTTTCTGAATCCCATCAAGGCTATTTTGTGAGTCTCATTAATTCATAGCCACATAATGTTGCCTGTCCCCAGACCTACCATGATGCTGCACACAGCCGTGCCTTGCACTTGCACATCCTGGAACCAGGAGTCAAGTGTCTCATAGCTCCCCAAAACACAGCCTTGTGTTGGTTCCTATGACACTTTTGCGATTTTTTTTTTTGGGGGGGTGTCATTGTTTCTACTTTCAGCTCCTCACAAGTTTATGACACCTATGTTCTCACAAACAGCAGAATGAGTCCTTTTCTACTTGATCAAACTATGAGACAAACCAAAGCTAATCACCTCCAGGATGCCTTGGTTTTTGTGGCTATACAGAATCTACACTCATAGGATTACACTTGCAACAAACTATTCTTGGAAGCTTTACTTATTTTCCCCCATAAGTTGCTTGACAACGAATATCTGATTTATATAAGCAATATTAATCTTGGGTCAGGTTTTAGAAATTTAGATTAATGATACATAATAGCATTAACTACCCAGTACCCATAAAACCAATAGTTACAAAAGAAAATAAAAAGTTGATCTCAGAGGTTATAGCCTTGGCATTTTGTTTAAAATAGTAATAGCTACCATATACCAAACACTCATCTAGGTACCAAGGACCTACCACCATCCCACTATCCCTTAAAGCATCTATGAAATAATTAACTCCAATGTATAAAGGCCACTAAGAAATGATGGATAGCAATGTAGACCTCCATCTAAGAGTAAAAATGGTCCAAGATTTTTCTGCTTCCTCCTCAACTTTCTTTTAAAAAATTTTATTTACTTATTACATATACAATGTTCTACTTGCACATTTGCCTGCACATCAGAAGAGGAAAGAGGGCCGCAGATTTCATTATAGATGGTTGTGAGCCACCTTGTGGTTTCTGGGAATTGAACTCATGACCTCTGGAAGAGCAGCCAGTGCTCTTAACCTCTGAGCCATCTTTCCAGACCTTCCTCCTCAATTTTCATCCAGTACATAATCCACATATTATACCCTTTGCCCAGAAAACCAACCACACAGGAGCATTCTCTGTGAGAGAAGTGGGAAGCTGAACACCAAACTACTGTGCTCAATCAACCCCAGACAGAAGCGGGTTGAGGGCCTTTGGAGACCTCTGGATGTGCTTTCTTCTCCGCAGGAAGGAGCCATATTAAAATCCAAACCCTTTTCAAACACAAATGACTTTAATGTCAAAGAGTCAAAGGAAAAGTCCAAAGGATAACCCTCTAGATGTGAATGCACCTAAACACTGCACTTATGCAGCTGGAGGAGGTCTCTGACAACTGCAGAAAACAGCTAACCAGACACAAGCAGAATCAGGACAACTATCTTGAAAAATCAGGGTTTACCAGGATGCAGCCATTCTGGGATTTGCTAGAGTGACAATAAGCACCCACTAAAGTATTTCTGATCTAGTACAGACACAGGAGGCGAAGTTACAATAATCTTGGCAGTCAATCTGACCACTTCAGCTACTCTATTTGTATTCAATTTCCATTAGCTACTGTTCCTCTGAAGTAAACAGAGAAAATCAGAAGGCCAACACCTACACAATCTATGAATACAACCCACAGGAGCAGCTTTATTGTCTCAAAAAATCCCATGTCCAGCACAAAGCCAAATCCTATGGTGGACACTGAAATAAAGAGTTACAAGAATCACTGCTAGGCTCTAGGGTACAAGACATAGTCCCTGGCATCTGTATGCCCCAAGTGTAATGATGGTATATGGACAATGAAATAAAACCCTCAAGATGTGTTATATGCAACTGATACAGAAATAAATGCTGCTCTTTGAGTGCAGGAAAAGGAACTGGATTCGTGGGCTTGTTTACCATGACACACCGGGTACTCAGAACTAACACCTATGCAGAAGGCACGGAACTTATTTTTAAATCCAATTAAATGTGAAAAGTACCTACACATCAATACCTTACAGTTGACTGGGATGCTTCCTTGATGTACAGGAGAACTTGAAGGTGGTTTTTCAATTTCAAATCAGTACTTCCAGTATGCTTACTCTGAAAGCAGGGGCTATAGCTCTGTGTAGAGCACTTGCATGTCATGTTGAAGACCCTAGTTTCTATCCCTAGTCCTACCAATGTCCTGCCTCAACCCCTGCCAGCCAACAAAACAAACAAGCAAGCAAACAAAAAAACCCCATCAACCACTACAACCCTCCAGCCTCACAGATTTGCACCATTATGAAATGTAATTTTCCATCCTAACATTTCTTTGCACACTTTTTGGTATAGGTTCACATTAGTTTTCTTTTCTTCTCTCTCCCTCTCCTTCTCTCCTCTCTCTCCTCCCTCCCTCCCCTTCCTCCCTCTCCCCCCCATCTTTTTTTTAAGTCAGTGAGTGTGGTGGCATATGCCTCTAATGCCAGCACTCAAGAGGCTGAGTTAAGAGGATCTTGAGTTCAAGGCCAGGCTGGCCTACATATCTAGAACCTGTCTCAAAAAGAAGGAAACAACAGTAACTGTGGAGTAAATCCTGTCCCCTGTTTTTCAGTGTCCCAATACAGTAGTTAACCCTGGCATGTGTGTTACAGTCTGAACCAGGAAGAACATTACTTTTTTTCCTGGCAGCTTTTTAAGGTTGGGGGCGGGATGACAGGATGGGGGGGGGGAAGGGATTCAGGATGAGACAGCTTCAATAATACATTATGGGGGGAGCAGGGGATGAGGGGAGGGAGAGGGAACTGGGATTGACAAGTAAAATAATGTTTCTATTCAAACAAAAAATTATATAAAAAAATACATTATCATAAGAGATTCTCCAAATAAGTTTCATCTGAATACCCATTTGTTCATCAACTATTCTGCTTGTAACTAACATACTTACCACAGAGCCAGACACTTAAGAGGACCAAGAAAGCAGGGTCATCTCTGGCCCACTGATCCTTTGTTTGCTTCCGGTAATGAAAGTTTCTATAAACCCTCTGTGGGGAAGTGAACAGGTAGAGCATCTGCCATGCAGCAAACTCAAAGTCCATCTGCCGAAATCGAAAAAGCCTTCTGAGGTACTTGTAGCGTTTTGCTCCGGCTGTGTGTCTCGCTGCATCCCTGGAATTCAAGACTCCATTCCCCTGCATTGAAGAACTCACTGAAGTACTTGGTAGCATCTTCCTGGATGGAATAAAAACATTTCTCTGAGATGTAATCTTTAAGAACTGTCTGGCTACTGGCACTCCTCTTGAGAGTTGTGACATTTTTTCCTGCTACCTTCAGGAAGGATTAGGGGCCAGAAGCAAAGTAATTGGTTCTGGGGCCTGGCAAGTGTTAACAGCACTTCCATCAAGGGCAGGGCCACCTTCTTCTGCATCACCTGAAATCACTTATCTCCAGTCCATGGTTTTCCACCCTTCACTTTAATCAAGCCTTTGACAGCTGCATTAGCTAACTATCAATAGTGGAGGATGAGGAAAAAAGCAGCACAGAGATATGAAAGGACCTCCTCATGGGCATGGGACTAAGACTAGAACTCTGACTCAAAATTCCGTGTTTTTAATGGCCAACATTTCAAACAAAACAGCAACGGCAAAATACTTCGTTTAAAGCTGAAAGCAATGATACTGAAAAGATAAAACACACAGCTTATTCGTACAAGTCCGTCACCGACGGCCAGCAAACTCCTGGCTATTCAAAATGTGACATAAAAAAAAAAAAGATGCAAATTCCAACCCTTGGTGGTTTTACTCCCAGAATAGCTGGTGGGTAGGATGAATAACAGCGCGGAGGGTCCAGTCCAACTAGTCCGAAGCTGAATGAACGCTGGTCACCGCCCTATCCTCCGCCCAGCGTCCCTTTGCACAGGTGCTAGCACACCTCGGCGCCACGCCCCGCCAGAGGCTCTCTATTTCCCCAAGCCTGCGGGGCCGCTGTCAACAAGAACTACAGACCGCCCAGTGACATTTGGGTTAAGATCAAGCAACGTAAGGGTTTCGGTGTATGTGTCTCCCGTGCAAACTTCCAGACCTGCTTAGGATAAAAACAAACAGATGGTTCTATTTCTGCGATTCCAACGTAAACGGGCGTCTTTGGTATTGCCCACTGCGGGCCTCGGGCTCGAGCTGCTGGCCGCCGGCTTGCCCCCTACCCCGGCCGCTGAGACGCCAGGCCACGAGCTGTCCGTGGAAACGGCCGTCAGCACGAATGGCACCCTGCTCACACTGAACAGAACTCACCTGAAGGCCCGTGTTGCCTCGCCCTGGGCCCGGGACCACTGCCACCCTCGCCCGGCAGTCGAGCCGGGCCGCCGCAGAGCCTACTTCCCTTACCACTACGTAGCCAGCATTCACGGCGCCTCCTATTTACGTCATGGTCGCAACCTCCGCTGCGCATGCGCACACGCTCAAGACTCGCGTCGTCTTTATCGCCTCCCGGCCGGAAGTTGTCGAGGACGTCTCTTCCTCTGACGCTGTCAGCGGGCGTAGCCCGCGCCCGTCCGGGCGTCCTCCGGCGACTGAAGACGGTGATCGGTGTCGGTGTCGCGAGGGCGGCGGGGCCGCCATGCCCCGGTATTACGAGGACAAGGTGGAGGGCGGCGCGTGCGCGGGCGTGAAGGAGGACCTGGGCGCGTGTCTGCTGCAGTCGGCCTGTGTGCTTCAGGTAGCGCGTCCGGGGAAAGCGCTCCGCGGCCTACCAGGGCCATCAGGTCGGGGGTGGAGGTCGCAGCATTAGCTCCTGACTTCGGACACATCTCTCTCTCTCTCTGGTGTTTCATGGGAGATAACTAACGTACCACCCAGTCTCAGGCTTTTGTAAACAGTAAGCCATCATCTCAGTTCAAGAAGTGAATGCTGGCACTCTGCTCAGTTCTGGGCAGACCCCCACCCCAAGGGAAGCTGTCGAGGTCTGTACCTGCTTCGTATGGCTACTTGATCTGTGATGGAGATTTGTAGCTCCTTGGTTTCTAGACTGTGGAAGTTAATGTGATCTTATGGCGTGCCATAATCCCTCCCTGCCGATCTCCAGCCCATCTTAAACCTACAGTATTGCATTCTGGGAGGAATTCAACATTAGCCTGTGTTTTGTGTGCTGCCAGTGGGAACTGTAGGGGCTCAGAGAAACGCAGGGTAGCAGGTATGAACTGGGATGTTAAGAAATAAAGTTCCAGTGGGGCTAGTGAGGAGAAGGGGGGCGGCGGGGGTTCAGAACCAATTTTGAGATAGACTTCTTAAGATTTAATGACTCCTGGGAAGCCAGAAAAGTTGGAACTGCCAAAGGGTTTTCCTGTGTGTCTCTATCAACAGAACATGTATATGATCTTGACCTCAGAAAAGCAAGCCCTCTTGCCCACTCACTCAGCTCTAGTTCCTCCATCTTATTGTTTGAGATAAGGTGTGTCACTGAATCTATCTGGCTAGACTACCAGATCTGCTTGTCTCCACTACGAAGTTCTGAAAGTATAGGCACCTACCATCATGCCCCAGTTTTTTTTGTTGTTGTTTTGTTTTTGTTTTTGTTGTTTTTCAAGACAGGGTTTCTCTGTGTAACAGCTCTGGCTGTCCTGGGACTAGCCTGACTATCCTGGAACTAGCTCTGTAGACCAGGTTGGCCTCGAACTCAGAGATCTGCCTGCCTCTGCCTCTCCAGTGCTGGGATTAAAGGTGTGCACCACCACTGCTCTGCTCATGCCCAGCTTTTTATGTCGGTGCTGAACTGAAGACATCATACATAGCAAGCATTTTATTCACTTAGCTATTTCTCCAGCCCCCCATTAACATTTGCAAACAATGTTTTAGTACCAACACTAAAAGGGTCTCATTTTAAGGCATCCAGTTCATAGTTCTCATCCACAGGAAGGCTTATGTAAAGATTAATGATGTGTTCTAAAAATCTCAAGACTCTGGGGGCTGGAAAGACAGATGGCTCAGTGGTTAAGAGCACTGGTTGCTCTTATAGAGGACCTGGGTTTGGTTCCTAGCACCCATATGGTTGTGCATAATCACCTGTACCAGGTCTGCATGTAGGGCCCATCTGTATATTTAGGCAAACACTGATACACATAAAATAAAATTTAAAAACCTGAGACTCAGAGCACTCAACTATTTAATCTTTACATTTATTTTTTGTTTCTTTTTCTTTTCTCTCTCTCTTTTTTTTTTTTTTTTTTTTTTTTTTTTTTTTTTTT